GCACATAAAAATTAACAACAATCAGACGAGCGGCAACAATAAGTATCGAACTGCAGTTGCCCCAACCACCTGAAGATATATGGATCTCTAGAGGTGGTAGCGTGAGTGGCATTCAAGTAAATTCAGCTATACAAAATAAATTATAAGATCTCAAGTCAACTAAATCCATAAGTAAAATATCTTTAAAATCAAATATTACTTAGTTACAATAGAGATATTACAGCTATTTATATCAGTTGGCTACTTTATTGATTTATAAACCTTCTTTGATATACGAACACTACAATATTTTAACATATTATGCTTTCACATTAAAAATGAGCAAAACTCATATTTAAAAAATATTTTATTTACACTTTAAAATGAAACTGGCAAAGCATTTTCTGATCACGAGGCCATCGCTGCTGATCACACCTTCGACATCGTTATATCGTTATCGCTGCCCCAGACAATGTTGCACTTTGTATGGCTTAGGCCACAAAAATCCCCCTTCTTGATTCCTTATTTCCGTGGTTCGTTTTATGTGCACCAAATTGAGTCATAAAATACATTTTCACATCGTCGCCAGTTTCGAGCCATCCGACAGTTAAGTGGTTGCATTTGGAAATGCTTTAAGCATATTTTTATGGCCAATGCAAATGTGGTAAATGTCGCCTGGTCCGTCGTTTAGCCAACTTGCTCTCCTAATTAAGAGGCCCATCCGCAGATAAGAGAAATATGCGAGAGAGGACCATTAGGCTATCTACAAATTGGACACACAAATTTCAAAGATACACATGACTTTGGAGCCGGGGCATTTCTGTTTTGGCACGAGCTCAGTAAATGAATGGAAATATGATTATTATTAACCATTTTACTTCCAGAAAAAATTGTTTAAAAGTCCATTTGAAAATAAATAAATTGGAATACTTAATTTTAAATTTGTTTGGAAACTGAAGTCAATAAATATATTCCTAATTGTTAAGAAATTACAAAATATTTAGATCAATAATTATCGATCATTCATTTATACAATATAAATTTTTCGAAATGTTTCATACTTTAAACAGCAAGAAAGGTGAGGCATGTTTTTATGGCTATTCCTCCTCAAAAGGATTACCTTTATTGTCCACATTGAGACCTCATATCAAATCAAAGTGCGATCGCAGCGAGGTGTTGATTAGCCGCCCGGACTAAGCTACGCCATAAAAATGTAATAACCCCCGAATCCGGGCAGGTGCCAAAAGGAGGAGGACCGATTGAAGTCGGATTAGGATTCGGATTGGGAATCGAAACGCTCTTCTCCTGCGAATCATAGGATCCACTTCGGAAACCTGCCATGGATTTATAGGTGCCGGCAGGCAGTAAAAATTTAAATAGCATCCATTTAGTGGGGGACATCAATTTTTAAAACGAGCGCCGCCTCGGAAAATGTGGTGGGGACGGGGGGAGGGGGGCAACGGAATTGGAATCAGGGCTTATGTTTATCCTGCAGTTGTTGCTATTGTTGCTGTTGTAGCTGGCATGCTGACTGATCTGGAGCAGCGATAAATCGCCGGGCAGCAGAGGGTTAAGGGGGCAGGAGAACACCTTTGTTGGCCACGTTGTTGACAAATCAGTTGGCAACAACGTTGGCCATCGACGGCACACGCGACCAACAAAAACAAGAGCCAAATAAAACAAGGCAAACAAACTAAAAACAAGTCATCAGGTGGCAAAACGAAGGCTCAAATACCCTTTTTTATATGGATTAAAAATATAAAATTGGAAAGGGATTTTTCTTTATTGAAAAACATAATATATTTTAGTTGCTTTGCTCTGGCTGAACCAATAAATAAAAATCCAAACGCCTTCTTTTAATATTCACATCTTTCTTAGTTTAGCGTATATATAAAATTAGAATTTGAAGTGCAGCTGTGTAACAAATAAAAATGAATTATTTAATTAGATGTATAGAACATAGTTTTTAGGAAAGAATATATATTTTTAAATGAGTTGTCCTATAAAGTTGGGTATGAAAGATAAAATTCGAGTTCTACTGCTCCAATTTAAATGACTTCTTGGCAAAGGGTATCGGGGAATGAAAATAAATAAACCGAGGCACGTCTGAGGCTCGATCTTGGTGCCGAGGCCCTGTTTCGGGACCCGATATCCGAGGCCCGGTCCAGCGAGAACCTTTGTCACCTCCGGACCCATTTACCCCCACGTTGCAAGATCGCTGGATCTCGAGGGTTCGGCGAGGGCAGCACATTAAAAGTAAATTAACTTATCAGCGACAACGATCAGTTATTTTATTACGTTTGTCCACGCAGTAACACGAACATTATAATATCAAAGATGCCGATTAAGATTCCACAGGCCCAGCAGGGTCGGTCCACGGAAACAGATCAGAAATGGAAATGGAAATGGACGGACTCTGGGATCAGCTTGGACAGGAGTTGAGCCCCGGTGCATGTGGGTTGCTTTGCTGGAGTTGCACGGTTGAAACGCATATATTACCACCGGAAAATTACCATGTTGATTTTACATTTATTTTTGCAAATTATAAAAATGGCTTCTTTTGTTCTAATGCAAAAATAGATAATCTTTTAAGGGCTTGAAAAGCTTAATAAATGTGATTCGCCCAATAAAAAATGTAAAACTTCTAATTAGAGCTGGGAAAACTGCAATAGTACTATCGAATAAATCTAAAAGAGTTTGTAAGCTGCATTCTTTATTTTTAAGACACATCCCTCCAACAATCTTCGTTGTGTGGAAGTATTTTATCTCCAAGATGGAGAAATCCCCTGCGGATGTTTGCAGTGCAAACAGAGTTACTCTGCGAGTGGACATTTGGCCAATTAAGGCGATCGTCAGATGGGGAGATACGCAAATAGATAGATAGATGGATAGATATCCGAGAGATAGAAGGTTGCACATGGACAACTGTTAAGCAGTTCGCAGAAGAGACCGGAAAAACGCTGCCAACTGTCCAAGTTTGCTGGCAACTGTCCAGTAATCGAGGGGCAAAGGGGGTGTGGCATTGGGACAACTGCGCATTGCGGTTTCTGCATTCGTACATTTCTTTTTCATAATTTCTAGCAGCTCCACTGGAGAAAATAAGGCAATTTGTACAAGTTTCTATGATATTCTTCTTCAAATATACAATTTACTAATTTAGTGTCATAGATTATTTCAATAATATTTCGTAAAATATTTGCATACAGCCATATACAAACCATTAGATCTGTAGCTTATGATTTACAATAAAAACTTTCTTTTACTAATGTTGCCATCATATGTGTATGATTCTTGTATGCTCAATTAAGCATAAGTATATTTTGTTTTTTAAATTTATATCCCCAAACAATATATACAACGCTCTCTACATAAAAACTAAACTACAATTTCTTTGTTATATATTTTTTCACAGTGCTGACATTGCTGCTGGAGTGCAATTATTTTAAGCATTCAATTGGCATTGGCAGTTCGAACTCGAATCGACCGCAGACCGCAGGATATGCGACTGGGCTGGCAATTATATGCATTTAAGTGCAATAACCGTCATCAGGACGAAGGACTCGGGTGACTTTTCCTCGCATTTGATGCTCCAGCAGTCGCTAATTATTTTAATGCGCTCCGCAATTGAAGCGCGCGCTTCCATCGCCCTAATTTCACCTTCCTCACCACTAATGACCTTCGCAGGTCACCTGACCTTTTCCCCACGCTCTTCCCTGTTCTTCGACCGGAATCAATATCAATCAAACGGAAACCGCCGCTCTCGACAAATTGCATTTGTTCATCCCGCTCCGCTTCCCTTCCTGCAATTAGTCCTTGGTTAACATGTGGCCATCTACGACCAAAAAGGTATCCCGAGCCGGTCTATTGGCGTGAAATTTTAATTGCCATCTTGTTGTCTGGGAGCGTGGAATCGAGGAAAGGGACGGCCGGCCAACTTGTCGCCCATTTGTCGGGAGTTCAACTATTTTTCGTTGGTTTTTATTTTCCCGCAGTAATCTAACACTTGACGGTTTACTGGAGTACCAATAAATACAGCAGATACAGTAAAGAAAATATTAAACATATTATAACAATGACTATTTTACTGCTATTAAATTGTATTTACAGAAGGCCCAAGAAAATCCTAATGAGAATAACATAAATAAGATAATGGATTAAGGGTGGCCAAACAATATTTTTATTTTTCACTAAATAAAGATTTAAGTCACACAACTTGTGCTTACAACAATATGTAATGTATATTGTAGAAAACATTTTATAAAGTAAAAAACAAAGAGAATTGTATAATTAAGAAAATATGAAAAGAAAAAAATAAATTGAAATGATAAATATATTTTGTTAGAAATTAAAATTTAGCATGTAATTAAATTGCTCATATAATCGCCATGTCAAAATGAATATTTATTAGCTTATTTCAATTTTAGATACAATTTTCATTGATTATATGTTAGTTCTTCCGAGTCTTATTGCTCACACAAGCTATATGGCAAACTGAAATGTGTTTAACTTAATTAAATATTTTTTAGGACACCCTAACTTTTTTTCCAGACAGTATTTTGACTAATACTTAAAGTCCGAAGCTCCATCTCCACCCTACAGGACCACCGATTTCCCTGCAACGCCATTTTGGGCCACTTTCAAGGCCCCGAAGGTCCGAAGAGCAGACCCATGGCCATTTGACCGACATTTGGTGCTATAAAAACCGGGGAGAGACTGTATTCCACCACGGCGTGGTGGATTCACCACACCGCCGGCAACATGGCGCTGTGTCGGAGCGAGATGCCCGATGAGATGGCCATAGCAGAGAGCGAGAGGCGGCGAATGGGCGCGTCTGGCCATCCCTGTCTGGCCCACTGAAGTCAGGCGGCACCACCGCCGCCTATGACAAAGTGGCAAAATTGTTGCCACCACCACCGCTGCGGCCTCTGCTGCTGCTGCCGCGGCCGCAGTCGACGTCGGCAGAGGCAGCGGCGGGTCGGGCAGGTGCGTTTCATAAACGCTCAGTCTCGTTTTGGCAGCCAAGCCGCTCACGACGTCGCTGGGTGAAAATAGAGACAAGGCCAACAGCAAAACTTGAGAAACTCAGACCAAAACTTAAAGAAGAAACTCCAGTGAACGTGAATTTTTTTAGTGAAGTGTTAATAAATAAAAAAAAAGATATACGATATATAAAAATAAGAAAGAAAAATCAAGCAAAACGCCTTGGGCTGGCTATGAAAGACTCGATGAGCATACTCACCCAAACGCCCAGCGAGCCGAACGCAGCGCATCACACGCAGCTGCACCACCACTCACATACGCTGCAGCACCACTACGGCTTGCAGCCACCGGCGGTGGTAAGCATCAGCGGCACCACCATGTCCTCCGGCGGCAGCACCACCACGGCGTCGGGCCTCAAGCCCAATCGATCCCGCTTCATGATCAACGACATTCTGGCGGGCAGTGCAGCGGCCGCTTTTTACAAACAGCAGCAGCAGCAGCAGCAACAGCAGCACCACCACCAACAACAACAACAGCAGCAGCTGCACCACCACAATAACAATAACAACAATTCGGGATCCAGCGGTGGCAGCAGTCCCGCTCACAACAACAATAACAATAATGGCGAGAGCTTTGAGCCACCCACCGCTGCTCTGCCACCTGCCCACCTGCACCACCCACAGCCGCATCCGCATGGCCATCCACACCCACATCCGCATTCGCATCCGCATCCGCATTCCCTGATGCATCCGCACGGCAAGCTGGGCCATTTTCCACCCACCGCTGGCGGTAATGGGTTAAACGTGGCCCAATATGCGGCGGCCATGCAGCAGCATTATGCCGCTGCCGCGGCCGCCGCTGCTGCGCGAAATAATGCAGCAGCCGCTGCAGCTGCTGCGGCCGCCGCTGCGGCTGCTGCAGTGGCACCGCTGCCCGGAGTGGGTGGTGCCGGTGGGGTGGGACTGGCGCCGCCGCCGGGCGGCCAGGATTTGGACGACAGCAGCGATTACCACGAGGAGAACGAGGACTGCGACAGCGACGAGGCGGGCAGCGCGGGAGGCGGCGGGGGAGGCAGCGGCCACATGGACGATCACAGCGTTTGTAGCAATGGTGAGGTGAGCCTCTGTACTATGAGGGGGTGGGGGTGGGCGGGAATCAGGGTACCCCTCTCAATTATTCTAGAAGAATCCCCAGGTAGTCAATGAATTTTATTTTTTTTATTTGAAAATCTATTCTATAATAAGCTTGGAATAGTAAACAAGTATTCGGTCACAAAAATAATCAAAAGCTAGTTGAACTGTACAAACATTTTTATTAATCATTGAGATCTGATAATTTTTGGTTATTATACTTTTATTCATATTTGCAAATGCTCTATCCAATCAAAGAAAAGGCAAATGGCTTGCCCTGTTAAAAACAAATTTGTCAGGATTATTGCTTAAAGTATAGCTAAATAAAAATTACGGCTATAAAATAAACTTAAACTTCATATTGTCAAATTAAACTAATTCCTCTTGTAAAGGCATAGAGTTGAGAATATAATGCAAAAATTGCTTCTACCTGCAATATGTAAAACTGATCTTTTGTTTACAAAACATAATTTATTATTTAAACAGAACGACAATCACACTTTAAAACATGAATTTCCTTACATTCTATTTTAATTAAACCTTTAACTTGGATTGTTGATAATGAAGTATAGCTATACAGTCAAATCGAAACAAAGTCTTATTACATTCAATATTCAGTCATTTCTATATAAGGAGTTTAAATAACTAAAGTTTGTTATTTTTCAAATAATAGTGAAACTAAATCGCTTTTAATCTTTTTATATACCCTTTAATACGTGTTAATTTTATATCCATGTTGCAAAACGCATTTCCCCATAGCCAATTATAAAACTAATTCAATTAAGTCAAAAATGAAGCAAGTCCGTTGTACCGCAGTCAAGTTCGTTGCCTAAGTCTTTTGTTTTGGAGCGTGCGCCTGAAAGTGGATAAAAGTGGGGCAGGAGCGGAGAACGGGGGGCGGGGGTGGCAGCCCTCGTCGATGTCGCTTTGCAAAACAAACTGTAAAAATTATTGCATGACCATTTTACATTCTCGTTCTTGTTGCATTTATTTGTTGTGGTTTTAGTTGTAAAAAAATGCATTTTCACGCTTTGTTTGCGTCATTGCGAAGCTTCTAAAGTCCCCCCTTCGCCCCTTTCTAACTTGGGGGCATGCACCTGCGGATCTGCGAGTTATTATGGCAGAATGGGGGGCGTGGCCTGCAGGGCGAGGGGGAAAAGGGGTGGCTGTCTGAACTGCAGCAAACAGCAACAAAATGCAGTTTAAAAACCGCCGCAGTCGCAGAAAAAATCTCAAATAATTACACACATCTCACTCTCCCCCTTTGCCTCTCTTTCCCTCCTGTTATCTCACGCACGTACCCCCCACCGCCGCCCCCTAGCAATCATTTAATTGTGGAAATTGTTATAAAAATGCATTTAACCCCCTTTAATAGACGCCCCATGGCAATGGCAACAACAACGCAAAAAAATGTTGCAGTCTGTTTGCTCATCTCATCGCCACTCGGTTCGTTTATACGTCTCCGCTTTTGGCCAGGTTTTCTCCTCTCCATCTGGGCCCCTGTTTTGTGCCATTTATTGCGGCAATTTCCTGTTGCCAATTGCAATTTTATAAACGGTAGTCGCGTCGGCCTGCTCCTTTGGGATGACAGCCAGCAAAGTGGGCTGACGATTGGCCGATTGGCCAGCGGGCAGGGAAGGCGGCAATCCGTCGATTCATCGGAATTTCGCAATTGCCATGAACTTCGGTTACAAAAAAAGAAAACGATTATCGACCACTAGAATTTGATTTAAGGACTTCCGAAACAAGCTCTATAAAAATATGGTCCAACAAACCTCATAAATATTTATATATTTTATAATATGTAAATCAATTTAAAAATGGTACTAAAATATTTAATGGGTTTTTGCTTGATCAACTTTTTAATGAAAACATCAATTAGAAGAGATTATTTTTTACAACATGTTATATACATGTGCAAATATCTTTTTACAACTTTTAAGTCAATGATAAAAAAATCAAAATGATATTAAGAAATGTAATTGATTGTGCTTGTATCAACTTTTTAATGAAAGCATCACTTACAAGAATTCATTTTTTACAACATGTTTACCAATTTTAATTGGAGTTCACATATTGGTTTTCGATTTTGCCCTTTTTAAAAGTGTTTCTCAAATTATCGCCAGCAAATCGATAATTCACAAAGTCGGCGCCAACATTCGTGAGTAATTTTCTTAATTGAAAATTAATTTTATTCAATTGCGGCATTATCGCTCATTTATCGCTGCCATTAATCATTTATCGGTTTCGTAAACAACTTTCGCTTTGGCGGCTTTATAAACTCTTGATTAGCGATGATAAATATAAATAATTAACATTGTGTCTTTATTTGTTTCATATCTCAAAGTACAATACGAAACAAATTTATACAAGAAATAATCTACATTCCAACCCTAGGCAATAATATTATAAATATTTTATTGGGTTTCAGTCCAATTTAAAATGTATTTTAAGTATTTTAAATACTTAAATGTTGTTGTGCAAATAATTTGCAGTTTCTCCCCCTTTTTTCCTAAGCCCATTCGCCTCCACTCTACAGACCAAATTTAAATGCGGCACTTGGCAAATTTTCGCTTTAAATAATTTAACGCTTGAGAGTTTACCGGACCCCCTCTTAAACCCCGTTCTGACCATGGCCCAAAAACTCGCTCTCGCTTATCGGGTAACCACAATCGGTTGAATTTACATACATTTTATGTACTAAATGGCTGGCCAGAAAAGGTGGAATAGCGGCGGCCAAGAACACTTCTCGCAAAAAGGGGTGAATTGGCTTGGCTATCTTACTTGCGCCTTTTTGTGGCAAGTTTAGACATTTTGCTACAAGTTTTTATTACACTTACACACACGAACCACTTTGTGAGCGGAAGCGGCAATTGCGTGGCCATAAACGAGCCTCTAACTGTAGCTGCAACTGTTTGAATAGATCGCAAAGAGATCTGAATCGAATTAGCCGGACTTTGGTGGGTTGGCTTTTCAAAATCGCCATCAAAATGGGACCACAAATAAATAATTTTGAACTAGCTGGGAAATAGTTTCAAAGCTTTTTAAATATGATTTATATTTATTCTTATTTTGGAAGAATTAATTTCAAAGTGTAAATAGTTTTGATATTCAATTTACTTTATTATAAATAGACTTTTGTGGGTTTTAGTCAAGTCTTAGTAGAATAATAAATTAATTTAGTTATTAGTGTTGCAAAAACAAAACATATATATGAATAGTTTTAAAGTTCAACCATGATCTCTTTAATTTTAGGCGGCAAGGATGACGATGGAAACAGTGTCAAGAGCGGTTCCACCAGCGACATGAGCGGCCTGAGCAAGAAGCAGCGGAAGGCGCGTACCGCCTTCACGGACCACCAGCTGCAGACGCTGGAGAAGTCCTTCGAGCGGCAGAAGTACCTCAGCGTCCAGGAACGCCAGGAGCTGGCCCACAAGCTGGACCTCAGCGACTGCCAGGTGAAAACTTGGTACCAAAACCGCAGGTGGGTGTCAATCAGTTCTAAAACTATATAGCAAAGTTTCAAAAAAAACATGTTGGCTTAACACTTAACACATAGGCACTTTAACAGTCAAAATAATATTATAAATGGAGATTTTTTACAATATCCATTTATTAGCAACTTTCTTAATAAATTAAGGATTAAATTAAATGAACATTTGCTAAAGTTTTTTTTTCTATTTGTTTTTGCAACGTTTAAAAATAGTTTAACAGCCAAAACTAAAATCCAAAACTAAAAATCCTAAAAACAAATTTATAATATAAACTTAAATAGACAGAGACTTTAATGTATATATTAGTATTATTAAAAGTGAAATCCTTAATAACTTTTTTATTTATTATCTTTTTGCAGAACCAAATGGAAGCGCCAAACCGCCGTGGGTCTGGAACTCTTGGCGGAGGCCGGCAACTTTGCGGCCTTCCAGCGGCTCTACGGCGGATCGCCCTACTTGGGCGCCTGGCCGTATGCGGCTGCTGCTGGGGCCGGGGCCGCTGCCGCCGCCGCCCACGGGGCCACGCCCCACACGAGCATTGACATTTATTACCGCCAAGCGGCCGCTGCCGCCGCCATGCAGAAGCCGCTGCCCTACAACCTGTACGCCGGCGTTCCGTCCGTGGGCGTTGGGGTGGGCGTGGGCCCAGCGCCCTTCTCCCACCTGTCCGCCTCCAGTTCGCTGTCCTCGCTGAGCAGTTACTACCAGAGCGCCGCTGCCGCCGCCGCGGCTGCGAATCCGGGCGGACCGCATGCGGTGCCGGTGCCGCCGCAGCCGCCTTCAGTCGGCGGAGGATCGCCGCCGAGCGGTCTGGCCAAGCCCCACTCCGCCCCCGCGTCCGCCTCCCCGCCGCCAAGGCCGCCGTCGACGCCCAGTCCGACGCTGAACCCGGGCAGTCCGCCCGGGCGGTCCGTCGACAGCTGTTCGCAGTCGGACGACGAGGACCAGATACAGGTGTGAGCGGTACGGAGGGGAGTGCGTGCGTCTATCATTGGGTTTATGCGGCCTCAAAAGCGTGATTCTCTGAGGGATATTTAATTTCCATCACTATTTCGTATTTATTCAAGATGTCAACAAGATTATGTTAGATGATTTTGCATTTAGATGGCTACATATCATATTTAGTTTTCATTTATTTTAAATTAACAGCTATTTTAAAATAATATTTTTATTATAAAGGCAAAAATAAATCTTTCTTATGGATAGATTGCCTCTCCTAATTCTACTATTATTTTGATCACAGCTGTTAACACATTTAAATGGCATTTAAGTTATTTTGAATTGATCACAACATTAATCAAATATCATATCACCATCCTTTTTGAGGTTCAAACTTCAGTACAAAAACATTTTCTTTATATTGCTAAATTTAAGAACTAAAATCAACACAAGAGTTGTATCAATTATTATATGTTAGGTCATAAAAAGTAGCACAACAAAGTTCAGTATTTAAAACGAACCCATTACAATGTCCATGAACATATAGAAAACACAATATCCCCTAGAATTCGCGTATTTTGAGCCTGCGCATAAACCCCGCTTGTCTGTGTGTGTGCCTGCGTGTGTATATAATCATATCTTTGTGTCTCTGTGTGTGCGTGTAAGCTTAATTTATTTGATTTGCTTTTAGTAACTTATTAAAAATGTTTTTTACAAGTTTTTTTTTTTAATATACAAATACGATAATGGAATAAAATTAAACGAATATTTATTTAAATGTTGTAAAAACTAGCAGCCAAAAAAGCAAAAGAATTTTGTATAGTTAAGTCTAACCACAAAATGTATTATCGAATAAAAGGTTTTTTTTTTGTAGCCTAGACCTATAAACGTTGTAACTGTAAAACTGTAAAGTATATTTAATCGCATATTTTTTTGTCTAAATAAAAACTAATACTATGAAAATAGAGAGCAATCGTTCTGTTCACTTCCATCGGCGGGTGTCCCAGGGCAATTAAAATAATGACCAACAGAAACAATTTACAAACGATGTGTGGGGTGGGCTAAAGGAGGGGGTGAAGGGTAAGGGGGGAGGGGGAGGGCGAGGGTGAGGGGATATACGACGACGTGCGAGCCAACCCCTAATGATAATAATTGCATGCAAAATGCATTTAACCGCAATTAGTGCATTTATTAGGCCAAAAGTTGATATATTGAATAACTGCCACCGTTGGCCACCAGTTGGCCAAAAGCAGGGGCGTCGGTAGGCGGGGGGCGGGTGGCGGGGGGCGAGCGGTTATAGCCATGTTCAGCATTGCGTGCTCGCATGCAAGCGGCGCTGCAGGCGAAAGCCCAGCAAACGATCCTTGAAGTCCGTCGAAGGACCAAAAACATAAGGACCCGGCCAGCTGACCAAATGGATCGCGGGAAGGGAGAGGGGAATCGGAATCGGAATCGAACTCGGAACCCAAGGATTACGGTTGCTCCTTGGAGGTGGAAAAATTCTAAACTGGCTTTCGAGGTGAGGGAATTTTATACGGAAGATCTCTATGGTAAATGCAAGCTTGTATAATTAAAAACAGATTGGGATTAAACATACAGTATTTATTTAATACATAATAAAAGTAAAAATGTAAAAACTATATATGTTTACATACATATATCCACTGCTCATATATTTTAAAATAAATAGTAATTAACATATTTATATATATTCCTTAATATATACATACAATAAAGATAAATATTTAGCTTTTACTAGGCTTTAAGATATTGTTTATTATAATAATGGTAAATGATTCTGTGAGTTTTTTCAACGTTAAAGTCCACTACAATATTTTTAGATATTTGTTGCTAACTTTTATATGGGTTTTCTTATCCCAGGGTAAGCTATGTTCCTACCCCATTTGAGAACTCTCCTGCGCAGCGTTTTTGCTGGCAGCACGCGTGTTCTGTGTTTTCGACCCGGAGTCTCGAGTTTCTTGTGTTTTTGCGCCTTCATCGACAAATTGGCCGCAATGTTCAAATTGCTGCTGGCCTAAAACAAAAGCGACGCTTGGTAGGACATTGAAATGACAACAACACGGCGCTGGCCAGCGGGCAACCGTTCATTAAAGACAAATGACACAAAACAGAGAACGGAGAACGGAGAACAGAAACTGCACGTACCGCTCGCCCGATCTCTTTCACTCCGCTATCGCCGTCCCACTCAATTAAACACGACCGCTATTTCAGTTTCAGTTTATTCAGATGTGTGCTAATTATAACCAGCAGTGAAAACAATAACCATTTTGCAGAGGTACTGGAAAAGTGACAGGAAAAATTCTTGGAAAACACCTTAGTAGTTTATATGGATATCTAGTTTATAATCGACTTCAGAGATATGATTTCCTTAATGTATATGATTTTCCGTCTTTTTAATTCGGCAGCTACTCGTTTATAAACTTCGTAAGAGAACACGAAATTGGCTGCGAGTTCATGTATAAATTAAAGACACATCATCAGGCGTTTGATATGCAAACTCATCGAATCCAAAGAGCTGGAAAGAGGCAGCCATTGGGGAATTGAGGACTGGAGGACTAAAGGACTGGAGGACTGGAGGACTGGAGGAGTCGACCCCGGACGCATTTATGAAATGAAGCAGAAATATTGCCTGCTTACTGTGCTGTAACCAATTTGCATGGAAATCAGGCGCCGACTGTCAAAGTACCTGCCACACATGCCGCCATCCTCGCATATAGACATCCAATTAGCCGCACATTTTTGTGGGTGGACCAGCATCCACATCCTCTGCACATCTCCAGCCACCACAATTCGCTTAAGCAGCCAATCAGCAGATCAGGGTGGATAATTCAAAGGGGCGGAGATATCACGGAAATTCGATAAACAACAAGAAATGCTATAAAATGTACTTTATTTGAATAGCTCGGTATCTGAATGTAATGATTATTATTTATTATATTTAAGATAACGATAAATTTGATATCTTAAGTATTGTAAGCTAAAAAATAGTAGAAATAATAAATAAATTATACATAAAAAAATACAACTATGTATACCCTTTTCTTGGTTTTAAGTGTAATTAATAAAATAAAATAAATAGCAAAAGATTTTCGGAACAAGATAAAAAGTGATTAGGAATGAATTACATATGTTAAAAAAAAAGATCTAGTGATAAAACCAAAAAAAAGTAGTTATCATTTTTGTTAAACTCCCAAAATGGCTTTATGTTTCACCCCATTGCAGTATTGATTTTGTATAATTATTTCGCCACACATATCTCATTCCTCTCAACCTTATTTCCCTTGAAAACTCGAAATTCGCCGGATAAACACAGGGCAGAAAGCGTGGGGCTGGACGAGCGGACCGGAAGAACGCCCACGATTCGCGGATTTTCCCCCCAAAAATTGCGAACGGATGTGGCCAGCTCCTCAAACCACCCACCGCCCACCCTTCACCCACTCACCTGCACTTTCCATCTGCAATTTTCGTTCAGCGAAATGTGTAATTTACAAATAAAGGGAAAACGAAATTAAAAGTTTATGCTCGCAGGAATGGGAAATCAACTTTGTTTGCATTTAATTTGCACTCCGGTTTTTTACCTTTGATTCTTTTTTATTTCCATTCGTGTTTTTTTTTCGCTTTTTGTTGATTTCTGAGCGAGTGACACTGGACATATGCCATTAACAAGTGGCTGCTTTTTTACTGCCTATTTAATTTTATTCTGATTTTTTCCGATCCCGATTCTTGTAACAAATGGTTCGGGGGGTTAATCTCCGTTCTGTATAATTTGTCACATTTTGCCATTGCTGCATTAACTATTAACCCTCGCCCACTCCGATTCGTATATATAGATTGCATTTTAAATAATCATTTGACAGGGAACGGAAATTGCGCTTAATTGCCAGCAAGTTGGGTTTTTCATTTGATTTTACCCGGTTTTATCTGTCGTTTTTTTTTTTTACTCGTGTTCAGATAATTGCGCTTAAATAAATATTTGCCTGATAATTGCAAAATGTTTGTTGTTCTCTGCGCTGCTCCAATCGCTTTGTTGGGATAATTCTGCAAGCCGAGATTATTAATTCCGTTTTTTTGCCAATTAAATCGGCTGTCATCATGTCTTAATAAAACAAATTTGGCTGGCTATTTCTGAAGAAGAAAATTACCTTTTTTAAATTTCAAGGAAGTTATTTTCCTATACCTATGGTAAATAATACTTGCCCTTCGATCTATATATTCTTGATATTTGTGAGGCTGTTGTTTTACATTTAACAAAAGTACTTTCTAAACTTAAATTTGAAATTTTACTAAATAGAAATGGTGGAAATGATCCGATAAATTTGAAAATTATCTCAATTATCTATATTATTATTAATCTAAAGGGCTTTCCTAGATCAGAGCATTTCAAAAGCGGTTTTTTTTTAACTTTTCCCCATTTTGCGAAGCGCAGGAACGCCTAAAAGGCGGCATGCAAAAATTTCACATGTTTGTTTTCGGTCCCTTGGCGTTCACCTCTTCTGTCGGCGATTATATTCAATAATTGTGTGCATTTAGATAAGTTACAAGCCTCGAGGGACGCAGACAATCGGGCCGGCCACTCTGGGCCACTTTCCCGGGGTTTCGGCCCAAATGGAGCCCAGTCACGCCATCTCAATGCAATCGGGCCTGGGAGCCACTGGTGTGTAGGTGTTGAAAGCGGCTGCAGGCCAGGGAATCCGGGGAAAACCGTCGCTCCGGGGGGTGCAGAGGGGTGCAGGGGGTCCGGGGAATCGCCTGGCAAATTGGCCGGCGCAGAAATGTGTCGGAAGTCTTTAGTAAAAGTTAAATAGAAAGCATATAGCAGATTTATATGCCTTCGTCGGCTGTAGTTATGCAAATTATTTGGCGAGGGCCCTCCAGATGCTTAAAGCCTTCGAATTTAAATCGAAAGAGGATTTTGTTGTAATAAAAAAAGTCTTCTTATAAAATTCAATTTAATTAAATCGGTAAGCTTAAATTGGAAATGATTTTTTTACGTCCCATAGTTCGGGTTAATAACATAACAATTTTAACAACAATATTTTACACTTTGGTCCAATCGCATTGGCATTCAAGCCTGTAGATCCTGATCAATATAACAATAAAAATAAAAAGGATTAGCATCCATCGTTCCACTTGTGGGAAAATTACAAATCCATTGCCATTCAAACAAAGCTTGGAATAAAATTAAGAAAATTAAAAATAACGAAATGTGTGACAAATTTGAACCATTTATCTTTTCGGCTGGAAATTGAATAGGCTTCCGAGAGGTGTAACCGCCGCTGTCCTTTGCGAGACCATAAATCTCGGTTACTTCCGGTGGTTCACACACCCGTGGCCGGAATCCTTTGCATTTCTAATGGCTTCCTTGGGCCGCTCTAAACTGCATATCCTTGGGCCCAAGTGCAGTGGGTGGACTGAATCCGCGGACTGTCATCGTCTTTGTCCATTTGGCAGCCGTTGCTTTGATTTATGTGCATTATCCTGGACACGTGTGCGCACAAATTGATCCTTTATGAGCATTTTGCGGTTAATAATGCAGCGGCACGTGCCGAACGGCCGAGCGTTAAGTGTAAATGATAAGCTCGTCCTTGAGTGGGCGTATATGGAAGTGGTGGTGGGGGGGAGGAGGAGGGAGACGGGGAGGTCCTTTCTTGGGGTTAAGTGTTAGTTTGTTTTTGTGCCGATTCCGAGTGACTC